TAATTAAATTTTTTGTCATAAATCTTTGCATGAATCAGCCAAAATTCAAGCATGAGTGACCCTTTCTGCACCACCTGGATCAATAAACTTTGATTCAAAAATCCAAGGAGCCAGGTGGAAAATTGTCTGCTTAACAGTGACTGCATTCTATCAGATGCAATTACTGTTCATATATTTAGGCAACCATGAGTGTCATGTCAGCATGTGGATGGAGAAATCTTTCTGTGTATGGCTAGCTTAGCAAATATACATCCTCCTGTGTATAAGAACATTTCACAATACGTAAAGCCAATTGCTGCTCCTCAGTATACAGTAATATCATCCTGGGGAGAGGAGGGAGAGACTGACTGGCACCTAACAAAATTCCCACCCCCTTCACTAGAGTGTTTGTGAAATGAAAAAATTATTTAATCAATCAGATTTTTACATCTTGTAGGATCACCAAAGCCTCTGCGAATTTGCCCAAATTCTGTGCCACACTAGCTGCGGACAGACAGTGCAGCGGAGACATCTTGCCGACCACTTAGAGACCGAATGCATCAATAATACAACAATCTGCCCCAAATGCTCCCTGAGAATCCCCAGCACTGATATCCTGGTAAGAATATTAAATACACAGGGCAGAAATATAAAGTCTACAATAAATCATAATCAAATAAAAATATGTAGTCACTAAATATACAGTATCTACATTTATAGTTTTAATCAATATAGTTACAATAAATATATTCAGTATCTAATTAAATAGTTATAATGAATATATATTTATAATAAATATGTTGGTATAATACATTTATACTATGGGGTATATTTATCAATGTTTAATCCAAGATTTACATATTTACACATAAGTTTCAGTTAGAAAATGTCTGAATCTTGGGTAAAAGTTGTGGGAATCTTTGGTGAAAACAATAAAAAATAGACCCCATATATAAAGCGGCAATAAATATAAAGTGGTATAAGTATAAAGTGGTAATAGCCACACAGAGTATAAATATGTATTTATAAGAATAAAGTATATAAATAGACGCTTATACTACAAATATGGTGTGAATGTTTATGTAAGTATAATACTGTAAATACCAAATAGATTAACAGTTATAATAAATTCCTATTATATAAAAAATATAGTTATTGTATATTAAGCACAGATATAATGTACGGCTCTCCAGCTGCAGAAAATGTACCTTTTATGGTCTCGATTTGTTTTTTTCCCATATTAGAAGATCTGTTACTCTTTCTATCTAAAGTGGAAGTAGTATCTTTTATGACAAGGGCCAAAAAGCTTTCAGAAAGAGGTTTATGATCCAGGAAATAACTAGCGCCTATATCCTCTAAAGGTTAGAAGTTTCCCACCTAGGACATATAAAAAAAGAATTAAACACACTTACCCTATAAGGTACACAATTAAAAAATCTGGGAAGATTTCCATTTGAAAAGGGAAAAAACAAACTGGAGTTTAAAGGGCATGTTCCAGGACTGTCTGTGTTGTGGGTGCACTTTACAAATAGTTACATAATGTGCATTTACAATCAGGAAATATCCTTCTTTTCAGAAACACAAGTGTGAAAAATGTTCCCCAGAAGACCAAATGCAGAAGAAAAACGGAATGCTTGCAAGAGGGAAGGTAAGACACAGTTCTACATTTTAGACAAAAACATCCCCTAAGAAACTAAAAATGATTCTTTACTTTTGTTGAGAAAATCGTCCAGAAGCCAGTTATATTTATTGCAAGGATATTTTTTTGAGGGACCCTTCATCTAAATGTAAAATATACAGGTTTCCTTTCCTGGACTTTAGTCTCTCTAAGAATAGTTTATACTGCCAAGAAAAAAAAAACAACAATGTCACTAACAAAAAAACCTGGAATCGTTACAGAACCAGAATATTGTCAACAATAACTGGAAGGAAAAATGTCGCTTTTCCTTGCTGGGCTGCACATACAAGGTAAGTGCGATAAACAATGAACAGAAAAACATATTTTTCCCATATTGCCAGGCAGCGCAGATGACTATAGACATGTGGTATGATCATACTCAGATAAAATGCAGGTCTGCATTTTATCACAGCATGCCTCAGCGCAGCTCTGGGCTACATTGCAGTGTGAATGGGACACACTGGAAATAATTGTTTTCTGTGTATCTATGGGGTGGCAGGCATTTTACAATGCAGTAAAAAGTCTGTCACTGCACAATGCGTGAATTAGCCCTTGCTGAATACCTTGGACAGTCTACTTTCCAAAAAGGGGATAATTTGGGGGTTATTTGTACTGTTCTGGCATTTTAGGAACTCAAGAAATGAGATAGGAAGCCAGTACATCAGGATTTTGTAGACTATAACTCTCTGTAACTCTATACACAGACTAAACAATATACACTGATGTGGGGTATTTTTACTAAAAAAAAGTAGCAGAATACATTTTGGTGTATATTTAGGAAGAAAAGTTATTTGTAACATTTTACAACATAAACTAAGAAAAACAGGTTTCAAAATTTTGGGTATTTTTTCACTTATATAGCAAAAAATAAAATACCCAGTGGTGATTAAATACCACCAAAAGAAAGCTCTATCTGTCTAAAAAAATTATGAAAAGGTAGCTTGGGTACAGTGTTGCATAACTAAGTGTCATTCAAAGTGTGACAGCACCAGAGGCGGCCTGACAACTCATGGGGCCCTCGGGCAATAGGGGATCATGGGGCCCCTGTGTTCTTGCCCACACTCAACGCACACCCAAAAAAGCCTATAAAAAAAAAGTGTACCAGGGGCATTTTATGGGGCCCCCTACTGACCCCGGGCCCTCGGGCCATGCCCAAGTACTCGAATGGTCAGTCCGCCCCTGGACGGCACTGAAAACTCAAAAATGGCCTGGGCAGGAAGGGGGTGAACGTGTCTGATATTCATACAATATAAAGTGCAGCGCTAAAATTATAAATGTGACATAAAAAAATATATATAAAAAAAGTCCCAATAAAGGTGACCTCGGGTAACAATGCACACTGACCAGAAGTGCACATAAATAGTGCAATGTAGCAAAGATGGAGTTCAGAAAGTAGTCATCAGCATGAAGAGGGTAGATGTATTCCCTTGATCAAAGAAGATCCACACGGTGAAGACAAAAACAGGGCAGAATAGATCCACTAGACAGCAAAAAGGAATCACAGCTCCACCAAAGAAAGCCACCACTCCTCCACGGTTCTTTCTCTGAAGATGTGCTTGGCACGTAACGCGTAAGGAGGAGCCTGCGCACGCCTTGACGTCACGCCGTCGGAGCATTGTGGAGCTCCGGCGGCCACTACATCTGACAGGACGTGGAGGAGTGGTGGCTTTCTTTGGTGGAGCTGTGATTCCTTTGGTGGAGCTGTGATTTCAATGAACGACGAGAGCCCTCGTCGTTCATTGAAATCTACAAGCCGTCTGCCGCAATGACAAACAAGACTTGTTCTTTCATTCACAGAATTCTGTGAATGAATGACAGGGCTGTGTGACAGCTGGTGGGAGAAAATCCCCTGCCTGCTGCCACAGTGGGGATCAAGGGAGTGAGGGGCTGCTGCTTTAGTACCATGTTACACCCTGAATATAGGTGTAACATGTAACATGTTACTAAACGTGAAATTATCCTTTAAGTACACGGATCTATTTACAGGGTATGCAGGATAAGTAGGGGCAAGAAGGAGCGACATTTTTAAAAATAGCTATAGTTAGCCTTTACTACCACTTTAAGTACTGAAGTATTTTGAAAAAGATCAGATAGGTTCAGAATAAACCCGTTGTATGTAAATTATTCTACAGCAGCATGTCTGTGTGCCTCACCTCTTTCCATAGACTGCAGTGTCTTCCCACAGCATTCCCCTCCTCTCTGTGGGATTACCTGCTCTCGGATGCAGATTCAAAGGGGTATTCTGGGGGGGGGGGGGGGGGGGGGGGGGGGGGGGGGGGGGGGGGGGGGGGGGGGGGGGAGGATACATTTGGCAGCTGTGAGTGACTCTCTTCTGCTTCCATCTTCAAATCTTTAGTAGAAAATTGAGATGGTAGTTCTGAACCCTGCATCCTATTAAAGTGGAACTAAACCTATCCATTGCAGCCAAGGAAGCAGTTGCCATTTGCAGTCATGATGTGATCGACTATGATACCAGTCATTTGATGGCTTGACAGTTCGATTGAGAGCTGGCATAAGCACACTAGAAACTGAATCAGGGCATGCCTTTAATTTAACTGTTTTGGGAAAAATTAATTAAAACAGAATTAATGTCACAAATGTAAAAAAAGCACTGACAGGCAGGGTTTTTATAACAGAGGAGACCCTAGTGTTCTCTTTTGTCACAAGTGCTTCTCCAGGCCTGTCAGTAGTAATGTACACTGAGCCGCACATGCGCAGCTTAGAGTACATTTATGACACTGTTCTGTGCCTTGATGATAGGATTCCCATGAACCTGCATGGGAGTGACATTATCGTGGCCTGGCTGTTCAAATGGCTGAACAGAGTAAAACTAGAAGGAAGACCAGCAGAAGTTGGAAGCACCCAGGGACAGCTGGAGTGCTGACAGTGCTGGAGAGCTTTGTTTGACAGGTAAGTCTGCTATAATGTGCTAATTTAATAGTTTTATTGAAATTTTTATCCGTCAGGCTCATTGGACATGTTACTTCAAACCAATGGATAAATTGCTTCCAGGTATTCCTAAAATAAATGAGATTATTGCTTTTCTTTTCCCCTGCAGGGCAACAAAGATAAGATGAAGGAACATGAAAAGTCCTCTGTGGTGGCACACCTGTCTATGGTTACCCCCATTTTACTGCAGATCAAAGAGAGCCTGTCTCTGCCAGAGCCATCTGAGAATGGATTCCATTACCCCCTGCAGGATTCTACCACTCAGGCTGTCCGGAAAGTGCTTTCCAACCTACCAAATGGGGAAGTAAAGGCTGTGAATGGCAACATTGCCACAGACTGTGGCTGTCAGAATGGAGGCAGCTCCGCGGGGACAGATTCTCATACCAGATTGGTCATGCTGGAGGCCAGGACACAAGTGTTTGAAAATATCATTTCAGTCCTGAACCGTGAGGTTGACAGTGCCAACACCAAGCTGGCAGCAGCACTGGAGCAGAAGAATGAGGAGCAGCAGAAAGTGAAAATCTGTGAACAAAAAGTGAGGCGCCATTACTATCTTTGCTAAAAGGAAATACAGAAGCTGAAAGGGATCAATTGTAGCCACATGGCTGTTGAGAGGTCAAGTCCCAATTGGCAGAGCCTGCTGGATTTTGCAGTTCATTATTAACGGACATACTGTGTAATAATTAGTGTGGCTGCACCGATACCGATATTGGTGCTGATACTGAGTACTTGCAGAAGTAGTTGTACTTGTACAAATGCTCCCAATACCAAAATGGATACCTTTGTGATGTGATTTGAGCCCATACAAAATTAATGGGCTCAAATCGCACTGCAAAGAATTGCATGCAATTTGAACAGGAATGTGGTGCTATTCCTGTCCAAAATGCATGCATTTTCCTACACAGCTCCTCTATGAACCCAGGCTTGTCCTAGTGACTTTGAGCCTGAGTTCACAAAGGAGCAGTGTGGGAAACCTCCCTGCATGACAGGTTCCATCAGCTCCGGCTCCTCCTTCTCGCACTGCAGACATCAGCGGCCATGGCTTGGGCTCCTCCTACCTTCTGCCTTTAAGATGACTCTCTTCCCCAGCCTCCAGTGGTTCCAGCCATCCATTGGACCCTCTACCCATCCTCCCCTGTCCTGCTGGATCAGATTGCTGATCCCCCCGCTGTCAGACAACAAAATGCCTCTTCACGGGTGCGGTGGATTATAAATCTCTGCTGGCTTCCTCTCCTCTACTTGCAGTGCTGACAGTATGGACTATAGGGTTTCTAAATGGTCATCACCGTCACATGGACGGTGCTGATCAATCAGAACTAATCAAGCCTATACTGTCAGCACTGCAAGGAGAGGAGAGAGAGCCACAGGGATTGCAAATCCCCAGACCTGTGAAGCGGGGGGAGAGAGCCGCTGAAGGCTGGGGGGGAGAGAGCCATGGGAGAGGCTAAACAAATAGCATGTCAGCTGCCCCACGTGTGAGTTGAAATTTGTTGTGTATATCTAATGGGTGCTTTTTGGGCTTATAACCTATCACAGAAAGTGTCACTTGTCCTAAGGTCCTTTTACCAGGGGTTCGTTGATTAGACCTTGGAGAAATTTCAGGCACCCATAAATATGATAGTGATCTGCACATGAATGATCTGTCATTGAACAACAATGATATATTGAAAAATACACACATGACAGCAGCAGACAACACTGATTGAAACTTCGAGGGACAGGAAATGACCATGTGTGTAGTGTATGCTTATTCCATTATCTCAAAATGGAAAACAAACATACGAAAACTTTTTTATCCATCTGAAAATATTTGAAAAGATCTAGCTTTACTGCAGAATGAAAGCTTAACATCCCTTGGTTCTTCAGGTTCAGTTGTTAAACCTGAGAAGCTCTGAGTTGGGGAGAGGGATGCAGGGGAGAAGAAAATGACCTCAGGTTAGTCTAAAAGAGGTACTTAAATCTGGAAGCTGTCCCCTCAAAAAGAGGGACTTTTTTTTACTTATTGTGCCTTGTTCTGCACTATGTCCCTCTATGCAAGTAGCCATCTTGGTATGGGGTAGGGCTTTACTTTCTCAAAGCAAAGCCTCCAGCAAGGAGAACAGCAAGCAGCACAATATTGACATCACCCAATTCTGACCCTAAATCCTGAGACTATTAGTCTGAGGCATCAGTGCCTTAGATCTCACGCCTCGTATTTATAGCTATGAGGCTACAGACACAGAAGTGCCTAGGCAAACTCACATGCACACAATGTTATTTTATTGGTAGAAAATTAAGATGAAAGATACATACTCAGTGTACTGCTTAGGCACAAGCAACACTTACAGAAAATGTTTCCATTAACATAGTGTAGCACTACCCCCTTAGGTATCACTAGAAGATCTGGGTCGCCCTATGGTCCTGCACAGCCAAGCAACACGCATCTTCACACAGACTTGCATCCAGAGTCAGAGATGAGTCCCTAAGCTTTGGTTTTGTTGGGATATTTAGGGTATTTGAACTGGATTATGGTTAGGGGTGTACAGGATGCCCACAGAAACCAATGAATTGAGGACAACTTCCTGGAGCTATTTACAAGCTTTCACTGCAATAGTCTATGTTGGAGGGCTAGCCAGCATCTCCTTAATTTACCACCCCAGATGAACTCCTCTTCTTCACCCAGCAATCTGGAGGTATCCCTGAACAGGGGATCTGGTGCCTGTTACTTTCAAAGTGGACAGTCCCAATTAGGCAGCGAATCTGGTTTCCCACCAGAGTGGTCCTTCCCCTATCCGCCCAGGAGGTGCAGGGGTACTCACTCAGATTCTCTCCTGTATTGCTGGGGGGTTGGTGGCTGCTTCCAGGCCTTTTAGCTGGGCCGTCCCTTCCCTGCCATACAGGTGGTCCTTGCTCTGGGGGCCAGTGAAACTCTGAGCTTCTCCCTTTCCAGCTCAAGGCTTGCATGTAGGCCCCATCCCACTGTAGGCCTCCTTGCAGCCACCTGCCTACAACCTGACATCTTCCCCACTGTCTTCCACGCAAGCTCTGTAGCTGAGCAAGCTCCAACTCTTTTAAGGGTGTTCCATCCCCTTGCCAAGCCTTCTGTTGGGGATTGGCCAGGGTCTCCCAAGAGTGCAAATCAGCCACGCCTCAGATTCACCCACTGCCTCTAGGCCCTCCTCAAAATCCCTAGAGCAGGGGGAAACTGCAGAGGGGCTGGCCTGCAGAGTCTCTCAGCCCCTGACCACAATTTGACCTTCTGCCTATTACACACAGGCTGTTCCTCAGCCCTCTTCTCTATCAATCAGGACTGTAGATCCCCCTAGCTTACTAGGAGGGTGCTACAATAGCAAATCACTTTTTGAGTTCAGATCCACCTGAAGTAAAGGAGGGTGTTATTACAAACCATGAGTTTATGGCATGAAAATCATTCACACCTTACAACTAAACTACCCTTATCTTCCTGCAGATCACCGACTTACGGTGCACATTGGCCACGAAGGAGATGGCAATAAATGAGTTGCACATGCGTCTGTCAACTCTCGAGCAAACCTCATATGATGGGGTGTTTCTATGGAAGATCAGCAACTTCACACAGAAAAGTCATGATGCTGTAACAGGAAGAGCTATCAGTCTTTACTCTCCAGGTACATAATACTTCTACACATCTACCTAGAGCTGAACAACAAATGGGTAATAGACAATAACTCATAGCAACCAGCCTACTCATAAAATGGAAATAATTAATTCTGCTTGACAGATGCATTTTATACATTATTTATTACTGTGCACATCAGTATTTCCTCCGTGCTATACAGAGAGCACTGAGCCATTCACCTCTCCAATGTCACACCACCATCATCAACTATTATTATTATACATTTATATTGCTTGGTTCCACCACAGTCACCCATTGTTATTATTCATTTATATATCTCTGGCATATTCTCCAGTGTTGTACAGAACACTGAGCCATTCACATCAGTCTGTGTATGAGAGAAGAACATACTCCTCCCACGCACACAGATTGCAGTGGAAACATTTACATGAGAAACTTAACATAGAGCAGCAGCAAAAACATTCCAAACTTGTAGAGCAAAGTGAAAGTAACAAAGTCATGTTAAGTGTAAATTCCCCGGCTTAATGATTTAAATACAACCATTTAATTACAATTAGTACTTGTCAGTATTTGGTTACAGATGAGGGATTGGGAGCGCTGCCCAATTCTGCGGTGATAATTTAAGTTGTTAAGTGTTTCAAAGAATGACTTCAAATCCCATAATTGCACTGAGTCATCCACCAAGGGAAACTGATTTGGAATTTTTACTGGTTTTTTTTTAACATTCGGGTCAGGAGAGACATGACTGTTACAGAGAAGATGCTGTGTTTGTGTAAATGCTAAACACAAGAGAACTACAAGTCTTAGCATGTCTTGACAACCAGAAGAAGCAGGGCGTGTGCTCCAGGACTTTTTTGTGCATATTACCTCTAGGCACACAAACCGAACCACAGCCATGGAGGTTCTACAGACTCATCATTCTGTAAGGTTGTGTTCACACATACACCCGTGTGATGGCTGCGTTTGTCCCCACAGGGATTGCCTCCCACTGCACAGAAAAAATGCACATTCGGCTGTACTATTTTTCCACATTTACGACCCGCACACCACCAGGCACATAGGAAGCAAAGCATTTTGCCTCATCTTTCATTTGGACTGCACTGGAATAGCTGCCCAATGCAACTGGGGTGAATAAACCCTTATTGTGTGCCCCTTTGAAGCCCCTGCAGACATTAGTCTGTTTTCCTTACCTAGGTGCCTACTCGCGCCGGTGATGAAATAATATTCTTTATACTAAGTTCTAGTAATTCAATTGTTTTAGCTTTCACATTATTTTACTTTTTTCTGTGCGGTTCATTCCTTTTCTCTTGGTACTTTTTTTTTTTTTTTTTTTTTTTAATACAGGAGGTGCTTTGACACAAATCAATTTTTAGTCCTGCCCATTCTCTTCTATGGATCGGTAGGTGTAAACGGACATGTGTCCGTTTATACCCACCTACATCCAATCCGATCAGCTAAAAACAGACAGATGGGGATCCATTCCCCTGCCTGGGGAAAGTCAGGTGTAACTGTAAATGGACAAGTGCTCTGTTGACATCCGACTACCCATAGAGGAGAGAGGGCTGTGTCTGTGTCCACTCTGCATATGTGGAGCGGACACGGACCAGTCATCTGCCCACTCAGCAGAGGTCAGCAGACAGATCCTCCGCTGAGCAAGTGGACTCTTAGTGGAGTCCGCCCCGTGTGAAAAGCGCCTAAGAGGGCTGTATGGAGCACAAATGTGGAAGCATTGAATTGTAAAGAGGATGTACTACCAGTGATATCTAACAGTCTCATGTAATGTGCCTCTTGTCTACTAAAGCATATCCCTAGTCTCCAACAACCCCTTTTTACAGCCTCAGACCATCTCCTGCTGCATGTCTATAGTCTGACAGTTTTCTGTGGTATTGCCTTCACTGAATATTATGTGCCGCCCTTTGGTGATTTCAGGGGCCCTTCCTGAGGCCCCCTATAATCAAGAAAGTTGACAATCACTAGTCAATACAGCCAGTGATATCAGTGCAAGGCTATATGGGAGCTCTATACAACCATTGTGCACTGCCACACTAACTGCTGTAGTTTTGCCTATGTATTCTTTACAAGAAAGAAAATGTCACCAATAATGAGACTAATAATTATTATTATTCAGTATTTATAAAGCGCCAACAGTTCGCTCAGCGCTGTACATTACAATGGGAGACAATACATGCGACAGTACAATAACAATACACTGCGATACACGAGGGGTTCGAGGGCCCTGCTCCTTGGAGCTTACAATCTAGGAGGGAGGGGATAGTGGTACAGGAGGAAAACCTGTGGGGGATGGAGTGGTAGGAAGAGTGGAGGAGATTGGCAATTAGGTGAGGGCGGGGTAGGCTTCACTGGAAAGATGGGTTTTCAGGGTGCGCCTAAAGGTGAGGAGGGTAGGTGACAGTCTGATGGATTGGGGTAGGGAGTTCCAGAGGATGGGTGATGCCCTGGAGAAGTCCTGAAGGCGGGCATGGGAGGAGGATACCAGGGAAATAGAGAGAAGGAGGTCTTGTGAGAAGCGGGGAGTGCGTTTTGGTTGGTATTTGGATATTAGGTCGGTGATGTAGTTTGGAGGAGTATGATGGACAGCTTTGTACGTCAGTGTTAGGATTTCGAATTTGATCCGTTGGGCAAATGGAAGCCAGTGGAGGGATTGGCAGAGGGGGTTGGCGGAAATGGAGCGGTTAGTAGGTGGATGAGTCTGGCTGCCGTATTCAGGATCGACTGAAGCGGGGATAGCCAGCGGCGAGGCAGGCCAGTGAGGAGGGAGTTGCAGTAATCGAGTCGCGATATGATGAGGGAGTGGATGAGCTGTTTAGTGGTTTCTGGGGTTAGGAATGGGCGTATTTTGGCGATGTTGCAGGTGGAGTCTGCACGAGTTTGTTAATGATTGGACTTGGGGCTGGAAGGATAGATTGGTACTCTGGCCTGCGGGGAGGGCCTGATGGTGGCATTGTTGGACGTGACGGAGAAGTCAGTAGGGGGTGGTGTGCGGGCTGGGGGGAAAACTAGGAGCTCAGTTTTGGAGAGGTTCAGTTTAAGGAAGTGGAGCGACATCCAATCTGATATGTCGTTCAGTAGGCTTGTGATTCGGGCGGAGACTGAGGGGGTGAGGCGAGGGGTTGAGAGATAGATTTGTGGGTCCTTGGCATAGAGGTGGTAGTTGAAGCCGTGAGAGTGTATGAGTTGGCCAAGGGAGGAGGTGTAGATGGAGAAGAGAAGGGGCCCGAGGACACAGCCTTGAGGGACCCCAACAGAGAGGGGGAGTGAGGGGGAGATGGTAGCATTATAGGTAACGCTGAAGGAGCGTTGTGATAGGTAGGACGAGAGCCAGGAGAGAGAGGAGTCTCTGAGGCCAAGGGAGTGTAGTTTTTTGAGGAGGAGGGGGTGGTCGACTGTGAGGTCGAGGAGAAGGAGCACTGAATAGTGGCCAATAGCTTTGGCGGTTAGCAGGTTGTTGGAGAGTTTGAGTAAGGCAGTAATAATGAGACTAATGAGAATAATTTAGAAATCTAAATTAAAGATTTGTGCTCATATAACAATTTAATAGGGAACCCTACCTTGTACATACAGGAGGTGCAAAGCAGGGTGTCATGCCAAGGAGTGTTGGGGTGATTGTTAGAAAAGAGGTGTTCACAGCAAGTTATTTGGTGGTTTACTGTAACATGACCATTATCTGGAAATGGCTAATTGTAGTGTCTGCAGCAACTCTCATATAATGGAAATACTGTATATGTACCACCAGATGCCACTTTTTTCTGTTTGCTATGTGTGTGATGAGATACTGTACCTATAGAATCTCCATCCACCATTATAGCTGTTACACTTTATTTTAAGATGATTCTCCTCCTGCAAAGCCCCGAGCCTATGAGGTGCCTTGTACCCTAGGTGGTTACCAACATTGCTGTTTCAGCAGAAATTCTCTTTTTGCTCTTCTGTTTTATTAGTGTCTGGATTGATTACAGAGAAATGGTGGTATATTTGAACAAATCCCCAAAAGGTGTAAACAGGATAGATTGGGTTTTTGTAAAAGATATGATGGAGCCCTGAGTTACATTTTGCCCCAGGGCCCGGGGGCTTTTAATCATGCCTACAGTGATAATTACCTAATTGATTAACTAATCTCTTCTTCTTTACAGCCTTCTACACTGCCAGGTACGGACATAAGGTGTGCCTTCGCATTTATTTAAATGGGGATGGAGCCGGCAAGGGAACACACATCTCTCTGTTCTTCGCCATCATGAAAGGGGAATATGATGCTCTGCTGCCCTGGCCCTTTAAACACAAGGTAACATGTCTACCCCGGTAGGCATTCACTAGCAATGAGAACTGTGTAATCTGGGAACGGAGAACCATACCTCACCTTCCTTCCACTCTTTAAATTACATCACTAACATCAACATGACACAGAGTGGCATCTGAAGGGCATTTCAAGTTAAACTCTACAGTAGGAAAACCGATAAATACACATCTGAAATACAATGTTTGCATTCATCATTGATAAGTGCATTGTAAAAGTATCATAGTTTCATTGTATTTATTTAGTTCCTTTAGGTAAGTGCAGCTTAAAGTTCTTAGAACAATCTTAGATCTGCACACAACATCACTGAAACAACTTAAAAACTGAACAAGCAATACATTTTTAATATTTACCTACTTCAGCTTGGGGACCTGTATACAGTAGGTCCAGCAGTGGACAACTGATGTGTAGTAGAGGTGCAATATTCTGCTATAAGTACAGCACAGAAGTTATACCCCTCTCCTTCTTATAGGTGACATTTATGCTGCTGGACCAGAGTAACCGAGAACATGTGTTTGATGCCTTCCGCCCAGACGTCTGCTCTGCCTCCTTCCAGCGACCAGTCAGTGACATGAATATCGCCAGCGGCTGCCCCTTGTTCTGCCTCTTGTCCAAACTACAGTCCTCCAAGAACAACTACCTAAAAGAAGACACCCTTTTCATCCGCTGTATCATCGACACCAGCTCTTCATAGGTGCCATGCAAAATACAGATCCAATGCACTAGACTGACAGGGCAATGTGCACAGATCTTTATATTAAAGCACTATTTATAACAGAGTTAACCACATAACATAACCAGACAAAAACTGCTTATGAGGTCCCCAGTACCAAAATGACATCTTTTAAAATACAATATATCATTATTAAACTTTTGTATGTACTAGGGGTTCACATATTGCTACAGACAGCTGCTGCTTGGTGTATTTTTTATTAATTGAACACATGGTGACACAATAGTCTTGAGATCTGTTTCATGTTTGTTTCTAAGGGGGAGCGCAGTATCTGTGTGTGTGTGTGTGTGTGTGTGTGTGTGTGTGTGTGTGTGTGTGTGTGTGTGTGTGTGTGTGTGTGTGTGTGTGTGTGTGTGTGTGTGTGTGTGTGTGTGTGTGTGTGTGTGTGTGTGTGTGTGTGTGTGTATATATATATATACACATACACATACATACATACACACATACACACACACACACACACACACACACACACTATATTGCCAAAAGTATTTGGACACCCCTCCAAATCATTGGATTCAGGTGTTCCAATCACCTCCATAGCCACAGGTGTATAAAAAGCAAGCACCTAGGCATGCACACTGCTTCTACAAACATTTGTGAAAGAATGGGTCACTTTCAGGAGCTCAGTGAATTCAAGCGTAGTACCGTGATAGGTTGCCACCTGTGCAACAAGTGCATCCATGACATTTCCTTGCTTCTAAATATTTCACGGTCAACTGTTAGTGGTATTATAACAAAGTGTAAGCACTGGGAACAACAGCAGCTCAGCCACAAAGTGGTAGGTCACGTAAAATGGAAGAGCACGGTAAGTGCAAGCTGAAGTGCACAGTGCGCAGAAGTCGCCACCTGTCTGCAGAGTCAATAGCTAAAGACCTCCAAACTTAAAGTGGCTTTCAGATTAGCACAACAGTGCACAGAGAGCTTCATAGAATGGGTTTCCATGGCCGAGCAGCTGCATCCAAGCCTTACATCATCAAGTGCAATGCAAAGTGTCAGATGCAGTGATGTAAAGCACGCCATCACTGGACTCTAGAGCAGTGGACACGTGTTCTCTGGAGTGCCCAATCACGCTTCTCTGTCTGGCAATCCGATGAACGTGTCTGGGTATGGTGGTTTCCAGGAGAACGGTACTTGCCTGACTGCATTGCTCCAAGCGTAAAGTTTGTTGGAGGGGGGATTATGGTGTGTGGGGTTGTTTTTCAGGGGTTGGGCTTGGCCCCTTAGTTCCAGTGAATGGAACTCTTAAGGTGTCAGCATACTAAGACATTTTGGATGATTTCATGCTCTCAGCTTTGCGGGAACAGTTTGGGGATGGCCCCTTCCTGGTCCAACAAGACTACGCACCAGTGCACAAAGCAAGGTTCATAAAGACATGGATGAGCGAGTTTGGGGTGGAGGAACTTGACTGGGCTGCACAGAGTCCTGACCTTAACCCGATAGAACACCTTTGAGAAGAATTAGAGCAGAGACTGCGAGCCAGGCCTTCTCGTCCGACATCAGTGCCTGACCTCACAAATGCGCTTCTGGAAGAATGGTCAAACATTCCCATAGACACACTCCTAAACCTTGTGGACACCCTTCCCAGAAGAGTTGAAGCTGTTATAGCTGCAAAGTGTAGGCCAACTCAATATTGAACCCTATGGAGTAAGCCTGGGAAGTCATTAAAATCCATGTGCGTGTAAAGGCAGGTGTCCCAATACTTTTGGCAATATAGTGTATATATAGTCGCACATTCCAACCACTTCATAACAGGTCTGGATATGCCATGCAGTGAAACTGTATGAATATGTACACACCATGCAGTTCCTCTAAGAAAGGTGGAACGTGGTTCAGCATGCGGTCACAGTACTGCAAACACAGCTTGCAGTAATCCATTTGTGTATGTGCGATAAAAGGAAAAAAATAATATTTCTGATGAGAATTGTATATCAGAACTCTGGAAAGCTGTTTAGGTAAAAACAGAACAAACTTTGTTTTATACTTGATTCCATAATGCACCGGTCTCAGAAATCAGCCAGTCAGTTCATTAGGATCTAGTGACATTGTCACGTAGGCGTTTTCAATGATATATGTAATATTTAATAAGTTATTTGTAAAATACTGTACACAATAAAACAGTCTGAAGCTGTGACAGAAAAAAAAAAATGTGTATTTTTTGCTTTCTTCATTATTCTGTCTGGGAAATTATTCTTGCTAGAATTACTCTGTGAATGATATCACAGCCAAGTCTGTAATGTAATAAATGCATAAAAGTTAATAATATGATTGTAATTAGTAAAGTGAGTCTGTCGGCTAAAGCCAAATTTATCTCATTAGCTCACATAAACGTGTTGACATTGTGTGCAGATAATGGACTTTTTTTTACTTGCTTCTCTACATTCTCCTGCTGCAGCAAAATGACAGTTGACAGGGAGCACACAGAAGATTGAAAAGACTCTGTTTTGTGAAACAGCCTTGCTTCAGAAGCCAAATGCAACCCAGCTGTCATTTTTTTGGGATAGGTAAGGCAGGTAGATTAACATTTTGTTTGCCAGGATCTGGCTGGGAACAATTAATCAGTGGGACATTTGTGTCACATAGAAGCAGTGCTCAGCTCTAGTACTGACTGCGCAGATTAAAGTTAAACAACCAGACATTTGTCAGTCTTAGCTGGTAAAAGTAAATGTAAATTGTAGGAGATTCAACAATCTTCCTTCAGCTCCACTCTAGGATTGATAAATACAAATCATAAAGGCAGTGCTAGATATAGTTTTAAACACGCTTTAAGCAGTGCTGGAAACTCCAGCCAACTGTAAGATGCTCTAAAAGGGAAGAAGACCTTCCACGCAAAAGCAAAGTCCACTTTCCTGACAGCCACTCACCACGTAAACAAAATTAGCTTTTAAAAATAAAGATTTCAGAAAAAAGGTAAAAAAATACCAAGCAATGACTCACCACTGCCTCCCATGAAAATACACTCCTGGAATAGGCTAGGGCAGTGATGGTGAACCTTTTAGAGACCGAGTGTCCAAAATGCAACCCAAAACCCACTTATTTATCACAAAGTGCCAACACTGCAATTAAACCTGAACACTGAGGTTTTAGTTTAGAAAAAACATCCCATACATTAACATCTTTTGTCTTAAAAGAAAAAAACAAAATAACAGAGCTTCCACTGACCACCAGGACAAGGGGGCAAATTTCCACTGACCACCAGCACAAGGGGGCAAATTTCCACTTACCACCAGCACAAGGGGGCAAAATTCCACTGACCACCAGCACAGAGGGGAAACGTTCCACTGACTACCAGCACAAGAGGGCAAAGTTCCACTAACCACCAGCACAAAGGAGCAAAGTTCCACTGACCACCAGCACAGGGGGGAAAGTTCCACTGACCACCAGCACAAGGGGCAAAGTTCCACTGACCACCAGCACAAGGGGCAAAGTTCCACTGACCACCACCACCAGCACAGAGGGGAAAAAGTTCCACTGACTACCAGCACAGGGGGGCAAAGTTCTACTGACCACAAGCACAAGGGGGCAAAGTTCCACTGACCACCAGCACAAGCTAAAATCTTGTGTTAATAAAAATGAATGTATTAAAACTCACAGCCAGTCCAATATATATCCTTGGCAGCGCACTTAACGGCCATGCAAAAGCTCGGATGAGCCATGGCTCGTGATGTCATCGCCTGGCACCGCTACTCCTTTCTGAGCATGCGCATGGCCCCTATGTGCGCTGTCATCCAATGCTCGGCTGCTGGAGCGATTTGGCTCATGTGCCAACAAGGAGAGCTCTACGTGCTCACTGCGGCATGCATGCCATGGGTTTGCCACCACTAGGCTAGGGGATATTCCTGCTGGATTATGAGTGCCCATAAATCCCAAGAGGCACTGGTGAGACATGGTGATGTGAACTGTGTCTCCTGGAAGCGTTGGAAGCAGGGAGTCAGGTGAATATTTTTTTTTACATTTTGTCACGTTTATTTTCACAGGTATTTTTTGCAGTTAATTTTGTTTCAGAGGTGGTGGGAAGTTGACAGGAAAGCGGACTGTTTTTCATGGAAGATCAAAATAATAGTTTTCAGTCCATTTTTTTAGCTTATACCTTTTAAAAACCATTTAAATTCTTTACGGTTTATATCGAATGCTTATTTTACAAACAAACATTTCACATAAGGCACAGGTTTGTCACAGGACTCACAGGGCATTTTGGGATCTCTAAGGGCTGAAAAACACACACATGTTATGTGCGGTGCCACTTATTTTGAATAGCAAAACACTAATACAACACATCTCCGGCCCACCTGTGTTGTAGAGCACCACAATACAAAGTGACACTACCATGCATTGTGGCACGCTGCATCCAAAAAAATGTTGTTGCCTAAAAAGATAAAACAGCATATACAGTATACAGTTGCTTCCTTTTGGACTCTGTCTTTGATTGAAATTTTGCATGGGACCATTTTTTCTATAAAGACACAAGTATCGAAGTTACCACACCAGCAAAACACATACAACACTAATTGCTTCTTTGTATGTTTCCTTTACAATTATCCTGGTAAACATGTGAGAAGAAAACCATGTGATAGAAAACTATATATATTATTAGTTGACTAATATGTGTGTGTTACTATGTGACTAAATAAAATTAACAAAATATTACAATGTATTTATGCGAAACCTAAATCTATTAATAAATAAGATTCAAAATACTGTATAACCTCTCTTTATTTTTTTTATCTCTGAATCCCATTAAGGTTTCCTTAAACTTCCTGTACTAAAGATATAACAGGAAGTGAGAGAAAATAAATGAAATTGAAAGAGAGGGAAATAACCTGTTAGACCAGCGGGTCGCGACCCCTTTGGGGGTCGAACGACGCTTCCACAGGGGTCGCCTAACACCATCAGAAAACACATATTTCCGATGGTCTTAGGAACCGAGACACCGCTCCTCGCCGCCGCCGTCTCCAGGTGTGGGCGGGATGACATGCCGCCCCTGTCATCTGGACACACCTCGAGATCAATCCTCGCCTGTGATTGGCCGCCGGCACTGTAGCTCAGGAGAGGCACACAGGCGGCCAATCACCGGCAAGGAGGTGGAGCTTGGAGAGGAGGAGCCGAGCGGCACCGCAAAGATCAAGCGAGTGAAGAGGAGGAGAGCGGCCGGAGAAGGAAGACATCTGACAGGTAAGTGTCGGTACCATGGGAGAGGGAGGGAGCGAGCGAGCCCAGGCTGGAGCAGGGGTCTGCAAGGTAAGTATCATTGGTGTCAGTGGGAATAGTGCCCCATCATTGGTGTCACTAATACCAATGATGGGGCACTATTCCTCCCACTGACACCAACGATGGGACACTACTATTCCTCCCACTGACACCAACGATGGGGCACGATTCCTCCCCCTGACACCAACGATGGGGCACGATTCCTCCCCCAAATGACACCAACGATGGGGCACTATTCCTCCCCCAAATGACACCAACGATGGGGCACTATTCCTCCCCCAAATGACACCAACGATGGGGCACGATTCCTCCCCCCACTGACACCAAGGATGGGGCACTATTCCTCCCCCCACTGACACCAAGGATGGGGCACTATTCCTCCCCCCACTGACACCAAGGATGGGGCACTATTCCTCCCCCCACTGACACCAAGGATGGGGCAATATTCCTCCCCCCACTGACACCTATGATGGGGCAATATTCCTCCCCCCACTGACACCTATGATGGGGCACTATTCCCCCCACTGACACCAATGATGGGGCACTATTCCCCCCACTGACACCTATGATGGGGCACTATTCCTCCCACTGACACCAATGACGGGGCACTATTCCTCCCACTGACACCTATGATGGGGCACTATTCCCCCACTGACACCAATGATGGGGCACTATTCCCCCCACTGACACCTATGATGGGGCACTATTCCTCCCACTGACACCAATGATGGGGCACTATTCCTCCCACTGATACCAATGACGGGGCACTATTCTTCCTCCCACTGATACCAATGACGGGGCACTATTCCTCCCACTGACACCAATGAAGGGGGCACTATTCCTCCCACTGATACCAATGACGGGGCACTATTCCTCCCACTGATACCAATGACGGGGCACTATTCCTCCTCCCACTGATACCAATGATGGGGCACTATTCCTCCCACTGACACCTATGATGGGGCACTATTCCTCCCCCCACTGACACCAATGATGGAGCACTATTCCTCCTCCCACTGACACCTATGATGGGGCACTATTCCTCCCACTGATACCGATGACGGGGCACTATTCCTCACACTGACACAGATGACGGGGCACTATTCCTCACACTGATACCAATGACGAGGCACTATTCCTCCCACTGACACCAATGACGGGGCACTATTCCTCCCACTGACACCAATGATGGGACACTATTCCCCCCCACTGATACCAATGATGGGGCACTATTCCTCCCACTGACACCAATGATCGGGCACTATTCCTCCCACTGACACCAATGATGGGACACTATTCCTCCCACTGATACCAATGATGGGGCACTATTCCCCCCCACTGACACCAATGACGGGACACTATTCCTCCCACTGACACCAATGACGGGGCACTATTCCTCCCACTGACACCAATGACGGGGCACTATTCCTCCCACTGACACCAATGAAGGGGGCACTATTCCTCCCACTGACACCAATGACGGGGCACTATTCCTCCCACTGACACCAATGACGGGGCACTATTCCTCCCACTGACACCAATGAAGGGGGCACTATTCCTCCCACTGACACCAATGAAGGGGGCACTATTCCTCCCACTGATACCAATGATGGGGCACTATTCCTCCCAATGACACCAATGACGTGGCACTATTCCTCCTACTGCAAAAATTACAGTTATGAAGTAGCAACGAAAATAATTTTATGGTTGGGGGTCACCACAACATGAGGAACTGTATTAAGGGGTCGCGGCGCTAGAAAGGTTGAGAACCACTGTGTTAGACAGTTGTCATCAGAACTGGTGATCCTTTTGGAAGATTTCCCTATTCTAGATCTTCCTATTCTGATGACAAATGTTAAATAGTGGATTTTCCATCTTTTTTACCCCAATGACAAGGGTCACCAAGAAAAACAGAGAGGGTGAACCTCCTCAATTAGATAATAACCCGACAGGGATTCAAACCCTTCCCCGCTCCATCAAAAATAAAATACGAAAACATTTTGGCTTTAGGTGACCTTTATTGAACACCATCTGATAATGAAGAACAAAGTTCTGTACGAATCGGCTATATCCATAGATTCCCTGTAGTATGTCTGACATGTAAACGTATCTTATTTTAGCCATTGTGAGATTAGAATGTGATTTACCAGCATCTACTGCCGTGTAATGGATCCTCTATGCCAGCTGTTCATATTATCCACCAGCCCGCAATGTGGCAGTGTATGCTCTTGGCTTTCATCACCTTACAAAACAAGCCAGCAGGACAGGAGGATGACGGCCACACAACATAATCCATCACAATAAATGGAATTAAAACTTTGGCTCTCCTGTTGGTTCAGTTACACACAGTGGATCAGACGGATAGAAAAAGATTAGTCTTGAATAGAAATTGATATAAAATATAATGCTGCACCACAGGAACAGTATGGAACATCCACATACGGAACATTCTTATAGGGCAGATTCATCCAAAAGCCACTGACGCATCTTGAATTTTATCAAATGTGGAGAACGCAGAGGAGTAAAAATCTCCCCTCGCTCCAAACGGTCCCTGCAAAACTTCTTGCTTAAGCTACATAGAGAACCCATCTCTGACAAATGACATCATTTGAGATGTTCTATTGCCACACTGAGGGACAGAGTTTATGAGTGATTTAGGGCTTGCAGTGTAATGGACTTTGCCAAAAAAAAAATGGTAATGGCCTTTCATAATAACACAAACTCACTCAAAATAAACATGACAACCTCTTGTAGGTGAGGTGATCAACTTAAACAGTATTTTAACCTTAAACGCCTTCTGCCCGCTATATAAGGAAATGACGGTTGGGTGGCGGCTCTCTCGGTATGGGAGGACATCATATGACGTCCTCCCACTCTGCGCATGCGCGCCCCAGCGACCAGTGGTGCGCTGTGTCCCTGGGATACAGTGGATCACCGATCACTGTAAAGAGCCGCTGACATCGGCTCTGTCATGTGATCAGCTGTGTCCAATCACAGCTGATTGCATATAAACAAGTAATGCCGATAGGAAATGCTGACAGTGCATGAGGAGAGGAGAGTCGGTAAGCGGCATTCCTCAGAGGGGACATGTAAACTAATCATCAGGGCACTAATGATCAGTGACCTGATGACCAGTGTAGCCCCATCAGTGCCACCTGTGAGTGCCCATCAATGCCACCTGTCAGTGCTTACCAGTGCACATCAATGCTACATATCAGTGCCTACCAGTGCACTTCAATGCTGTCTTTCAGTGCCGCCTATCAGTGCCATCAATCAGTGCCACCTATCAGTGCCATCAATCAGTGCCGCCTATCAGTGCCAGTCAATGCCACCTATCAGTGTTGCTTAACAGTTCCAATCAATGCCACCTAACAGTTCCAATAAGTGCCGCCTATTAGTGCCAGTCAGTGCCGCCTATCAGTGTCCGTCGGTGCCGCCTATCAGTGCCATATATGAGTGCTGCCTTTCAGTGCCCATAAGTGATGTCTGTCAATGCCCCCCAGTGATGCCTGTCAGTGCCCATCAGTGCCACCTACCAGTGCCTCCTCATCAGTGCCCATCACTGCAGCCTCATTAGCGCACATCAGTGAAGGAGCAAAAATACTTATTTACAAAATTTTAACAGAAAATTTTCAGTCTTTTTTTAGTTTGTTTAGCAAAAAAAAAAAAACCCAGTGGTGAATAAATAACACCAAAAGAAAGCTCTGTCTCAAAAAAATTATAAAAATTTAGTTTCAGTGCTGTGTTGCATGACCGCGCAATTGTCATTCAAAGTGCGACAGCGCTGAAAGCTGAAAATTGGCCTGGGCAGGAAGGGGGTAAAAGTGCCTTGTAGGCAATTGTTTTTTATGAAAGTGAGAGTTGGGGTACTGGTAAGAATTAAATGGAGCATGTACAAGCCTTGGCAGAAATAAAGATTTTTCTTATTCATTTCTAACAAGAGATAAACTCGCAATGAACAGGCTGCATGTAATCTGTCTTTCTCCATTGGCTGCCATCTGTGTGACTCATTTCTCTTCATATGCAATGTCCTACTGTAACTTTCCTCTTCACTCTCATATGATTGTATTTCTTTCACGTGGGGGGCTAGTGGTGACTATGCATCTGCATTGACATTGATGAGTAAAACATACATCTCTGGATGTGTCAACCCTAAAACACTGCTGAAAGTGAGTTTGAATTTTGCTTTCACTTTTAATTAAAAAAATATAAAATAATTTTATATTTCAGTCCTCAGCAAGGCACTTGTACAAGATGTATACTGACTTCTACAGAGAGAGGGCTCAACATCGCAAGAGGAATACATAATTATCTCATTAACACTTCATTTAAGGCTTACTCCAGACTTGGAAACAGCCAGATCGACACAAAGGAACGGGCCTGCTGCCCGGCGGGATATCTAATTACTCCATGAGAGCCATCGTCCCAGCACAGAAAGCACAGACAACCAATGTATTTATCAACCTTAGAAAACCTTCTGAACGCAGTACTCCCTGTGAAAGAAATGAACAGACTTTTGTTTCTCATGTGATTTGGACAAGACCAGTCTTCTATATGTCATTTTTGTTAAAGAAATGTGCCACGCTCTTTTCAGAATAGGCAGAAATAGGGACATGTGTGGAAATGGCTGCAAATAACACTTGAAAAGCCATTTAACAAAAACAGCATTAGTAACATTTCAGAAATTAATTTTCTCAATAACTTCCAGTACAATAGCCAACCTTGCAGCCCTGGATAAGTGTCATTCAAGAACGTGACAATAGCTGTAAAGCTCACATGGCAGCTGTGGGGCCTGGTGTAGGAGGGGGGCCCTAGTAGGGAGCAAAACTGTGATGAAGTCAGACCTCAGGACGTCACAGATCTCCTCTGTGCAGTAAGAAGCATTTGCTTGGCTGTCTTAGCAGTGTAGATTTTTGGCCCTCAGAGTTTCTGCTACAGAATGAAAAGAACCCCGTATACCTCAAATTGGTCATACACTAGTAGAAGTTTGAATGAACAGTCATGAAAATTCTCATAAGGTCATTGAAAGTACTTTAAAATTTCTTTTGCTTTTACATTCAATTTTGGTATGAATGGAATTTGAATGGAATTTCCCAAATGAAAACAACATAACATAATAGAAATTATTCATTCTGGTTGATCCCTTTGTTCACCAATAGAGATGGCCAGGCTCTTTTGGTAGCTGCTAGGAATAGCTTATGGATGTACAGTTGTACTACAGTCAGATTGGGTGCATGTTTTCTTATGTAAGTTGGCACTTTCATTTACAACTTTTATAACATTTATAACTTTAGAGCTGAACTTACAGGCAAACAAATACATAGATACAATACATACATAGAAGTGGTTATCCTGGCCAAATGATTTGTATTTTTCTCCACCTAGTCTTGAGATTTACACAGCTCTGCTACACCACATAGTCCTGTCTGGTAGGATAGAAGATCTGATTTTTTCTTTCTCTGCCACTGTACAAAAAAAAAAAAAAAAAAAAAAAGACTTACAGCTCTTGCCCCCAGGGCTGGTGCTTGGAAAACTAGGCAGCTGCTTAGGGTGCACGGCCACATAGGGACGCCTGGGTGCAGCTCAGTCCGGCACTCTCTCTGTGTGGCCTATGGACCTCTTGTATGAATTCTCCATTTCTATGCAAAGTCCTCCTCTCCTCATACACAGGGAATAATGGTATCTGGTGTCTCACAGCCTGTCCACACACATGACCATTTAGTACATATTATATATATATATATATATATATATATATATATAAAAAAACAGTATTCCATGTAGCAGTGAAGTGTCAGCTCCCCGTAGGATGGGAAGTGATGACATCAGCAGTCTCTGATGAAAGGATCGGTCCATGCATCTCTGGTACACACACTGGCACATACAATCCTCCAGCTGTAACAGGGAGCTGGCTAGTGACTGAATGGGGCTTATCCAGTGCTGACGCGGCCTT